TTAGGAGTGTTTTCCAGTCCAGCCTGTTGGAGCATCACACCCTGGCCCTAAAGTCCACCTTCAGCATTCTGGGGCAGGACAACTTTCTAAATGCTTCTTTAGAAAAAGAATATATCTGCTTTTGAGTAGAGAAGGTACATTCTGCAGATACATTTGTAGTTTTTACCTGTGTAAAGTCTAAAGGCACCCAGATGAATTATTAATTCTCTTTAAAAAATACTTCTAGAGTATTTAAAAATTCTTATTTAGCAAAGAGAAAACTCATTCGGTTTAAGAAACATTTTACCATGTAAATTAGTGATCCGTAAGCCTTATGCACGTTAACATCACTTGAGGAGAATATAAGCCACTCTGGAATCAGGAATTTGCCCCCCACTGGAAATTCTAATGTATTTTCTCTGGGTTAGTACCTGGAGTCAAGTGTTAAAACTTCTTCGAAGAATTAATGTAAACATTCTGTTATCTTTTAATATTTTCTTCTGTGCACTTTTTGAAGCCCTACAGTTGGGAGAAAATACTCAAGTGCTACTCATAAGGTTTTTCATAACTAATGTTTCTGAAGTGGTGTGCTTGTTCTTTTTTCCCTACCTTTGTAAGCCCTGGTGAAACCTGTCCACCATGGGTGAAATACTTAAACCAGAGACTTAAATACCAGAGACTGAAATTCCAGCAGTCAAGCAATGTGCAAGCCACCATAGTTCAGCAAACTGATAGACAAAACTCTCCAAAGTCACTGCCACGTCACTGATTCTGACTCACAGGGACCCCATATGACAGAATAGAACTGCCCCGGTGGGTTTATGAGACAATGAATCTTTATGGGAGTGGAAAGCCTCATCTTTCCCCAACTGACAGTTGGTAGAAATTGATACCACCTGTGGAAAGAGACCCGGAGAAGCTAAATATCATTATCCAAACAAAAACAGACTGACTGTGGAACAGACCACAGATTACTTACATGTAAGTTCAGATTGATGCTGAAGGAAATTAAAGCAAGTCTAAAAGAGACAAAGTACAAATTCGAGTATATCACACATGAATTTAGAAGCCCTCTCAAGAGTAGATTTGACACAATGAATACTAATGACCAAAGACCAGAGGAGTCATGAGGTGACATCAAGAACATGCACAAGAAGAATTCGAAGGGTCATGAAAAGGACACAAAAGAAAAAACCAAAGAGACTGCAAAACTTTATCTTGAATGTAGAGTAAATGGAAGAAACAAAGGTAAAGAACTGAAGAGAAAACTTCAGAAGGCAGCTCAAGAAGACAAAGCATTATATTTTGGAAAGACCAAGAGTTAGAAAACCAAAGGAAAGTATACCTTCAGAATTTCTTAAGCTGAAAGAACTGAAGAAAAAAAAAAATCAATCCTCAAGTTGTAATATTAAATGATTCTAAGGACAAAGTGTTGAACCATGCAGGAAGCATCACAAGAAGATGGAAAGTTGATCCTTAACCCAAGAACAGTTCTTTTGATGTGGCTCAGCTCGATACTTACCCTCATGAAAGGACCACTGACGATATAGGTGCTATAGCAGAATGTGGTAAAGAAATCTGATGGTGCCTAGTTATCAGAAAGAAAAGCATCTGGGGTCTTAAAAGGTTGTCCTAAAACAAGCAAGCCATCTAAGTGACGTGCCAGCTAAGTCCATGTTGAAGAAGCATACCAGTCTGTGTGATCCAAGGATTATAAATAATAAAATCCAAGATCAGAGGAGGTGGTTTGCAGACATCTATGTCTATGGATGGTAAAGAAAGCTCAAATTCCATTTGCAGAGTTCCCACATGGATTAAGCGTCCATTCACTCCCCACTGACCACTGACTAGGCATGTGAATAACCTTCCCCTCAGACAAGAGTGCACTGGAAAGTGAATTAATGCAGTTATGCTTAGGTTAAACTTTAATATTTTATCATTTTTTCCCTTTTTGGCCATTTTTAATGTATTCTAGTTTTTATTATTTTCTGCTTTCTTTTGGATTGAAGTTTTTGTGTTAAAAAATTTTCTTTGGGGGGGTGTGATTTACTTTTAATGAAATTCAGAATCGGTAAATCTATAGAGATGGTAATTAGATTAATAGTTTTCTTATTCTTATAGCAGGGAAGGGAAGCTAATAATAATGAAGAAAATGTTCTAAAATCGATTGTGGTGATGACTGCATAGCTATTTTTAAAAAATTTTATTGGGGGCTTGTACCACTCTTTCACCATCCATACATCCATCCATTGTGTCAAGCACATTTGTACATATGTTGCCATCATCATTCTGAAAACATTTGCTTTCTACTTGAGCCCATGGTTTTAGCTCATTTTTCCCCCTTCCTCCCTCCCCCACCATCCCTCCCTCATGAACC